TTTAGGGTTTCGGGTTTAGGAGTCTCAACCCTCTACTCTAAGCCCGGTATTGGAGGTATGTGGCGATACAAGGCCTCCTAACCCTGAGCCCCGAAACCCCTGAACCCCACTTTCCTGAAGCCTGGGCCCGAGGCCCAAACCCAAACCCCCAGGGTCTTCAACCCAAGGCCGTAAAGCCCAGGGTGAAACCCCCCCGAAACTCCTGAACCTTAAACCCAGAATACAACCGAACCAGCCCGAAAGAGTAAACCCGACTGAACACTAAAGGTTGAAGCGCGTAGTTGTGATAATAGCAGCTGCGAGTTACCCTAGTAGCAATTGTTTGGGCACTCAGTTACCCTAAACCCTAAACCCTAAACGAAAAGGCCACCAAGAGGCCGGATGATTTAGGGTATAGAGCACAGGGCTTCAAGAATTTGGGGCTTCAGCGTCTTGGGGCTTGGGGCTTTCGGAGTTCGCACTTTTTGGGGTCGTAGGGCTAAGAGCTTCTCGGGAGCGTGGTCGTCGGAGTTTAGGGTTTAGGGTTTAGGGGCTTGAGGGGTTTAGGGGTTTTTTTTGATGCGCCCTGCAGCGTTGGCTAGTGTTCGACAACCCCAATGCCGGTGCAGAGCTTAGTTTGGGGAGTTGGGCCTTTGGTTTCGGAGCTTAGGGTTTGGGCTTCTAGTACCCTTGAAGAAACCCTTATAGATCCCTGAAAAGAAACCCTTCTAATCTCTTTAGTAGATAGAACCCTTATAGTACCCTTTTTTTGTGTTGGGACTTAGGGTTTTGGGTGTACCTAAAGAGGAATAAGAAAAATTGGAGTTCTCGGGGGGAACTTGAGCTCTTGAAGGCCAAGGCCCCCTCCAAGCCTTGAGCCACTTAGGTTTAGGGTTTAGGGTTTAAGAGTTTAGGGTTTAGGGTCACTTAGAACACCTAACGGTTTAGGGTTTAGGGTTTACTTGCAGGGGCCTTAATAATTAGAATAGGGTTTGTTGGGGGTTCCGCATTATAATTATAGTATATCATACCCCAAAGCCCTATTCTGATTGTTGAGGCCCCTATGGTACTTCAAACCCATGCCGCCGAGACTTCCCAAACCAAGCCCGGGGACCCATCAAATCCTAGAGTCTTATCACCACCACCACCACTAACAGCAACCACAACAACAGCAACAGCAAACGCCCAAATACCTTCCCGCCAGAACCTAACTCGAAGATCACAGAGAAGGTGGATCGAGGCACATCGATCTGTCGGGGGTTGCAGAAACCAGGGGAGTTTACCGAATTTCTGACATTCAGGGGTTGAGCAACCCATACAAGGTGCAGGGTGCAACGTGCAGGGTGTCCAAGTGCGCCTCGGAATCCGACGACTGTCAGCCTAAACCCTAAACCCCGAAGCCCTAAACCCTAACGCCGTGCCGTTGACCGAAACCTGTGCTTCGCAGCGGTTGCAAGCAGACTCTCAACAGCCCTTTTGCCCCACAAAGCCTTAAATGTGTGCTTGTAACTGACATTCAGGGGTTGAGCAACCCATACAAGGTGCAGGGTGCAACGTGCAGGGTGTCCAAGTGCGCCTCGGAATCCGACGACTGTCAGCCTAAACCCTAAACCCCGAAACCCTAAACCCTAACGCCGTGCCGTTGACCGAAACCTGTGCTTCGCAGCGGTTGCAAGCAGACTCTCAACAGCCCTTTTGCCCCACAAAGCCTTAAATGTGTGCTTGTAACTGGGTTCTGGAGTACCATACTTGAATACTCTTTTTGGACCTGTTGCTGAAAGGAACCGTTATGAAATACAAATCTATACGTCTTTTGGTGACTTCAAAGTCCAGCGTATCAAACACGAGTCACAATCGGGAATAGTGAGCCTTTCGTGAGCCTGTGCATTCGGTAACATAGTGTTGCTGCATTCCGTGCCCGTGTCATACTCTAGCAGCTAGCAGTCTTCCTTCAACCCCTTTAACCCCCTGAACCCTAAACCCTAAAGGCCCCAAACCCAAAGCGAAGTACTTAGATCTTAACTGCAAAGGGATCGCGGGCCTGTCGCAAACCTCAGCTCATAGAGCGGGAAATCTAGAATGGGCAATTACCTATTCTATTTTGGGGCCTCCTCCTTATAATTATAGTATACTAATCATAAAAAAAATTATGTCCTTCGTATAGCTATAGTATAATAATCCCCAAAACCCTATTCTAATTATTAAGGCCCTGGGTTTCTCCCAAGAGGGTCCCTTGGGAGTGGGGTGGGCCCTGAATGGGCCCACCTATTCCTAATTTAGGAGACACCCACCATTGGGAAATCGTGGGTGTCTCCTAAATTTCCCAATGGTCGCTTACAAGTAGGGTGGGCCCTGAATAGCCCAAGACTGCCTTGAATGCTTGGCCTCATGACTCGGGGCTTTCAGGGCCTAGGGGTTTAGGGAAGTTTAGGGCTCTAAGGGCTTCGCGGCATGGGGTTGGAGGTTTTGGGGCTTGAGGGTTCGAGGATTTAAGGGTCTGCGGTTTTAGCCCATGTCATCTATTGAACTGCTTCGGGTTTTTAGCCCCGTAAAAGCTTCGCAAGGTGAGAGCCAGGCAGGGTTAGCACCCCTGAGCCGCCACACCCCCTCTCTTAAAGACGAAAGCCCGCGTCCTTTATGAGGTGGAGGGGGATTACTGCGACGACGTCACGGTGGTGTTTATTGCACCCAAGTCTGAGGCAGGCCGAGCTTCAGGGCATTTAGGCCGTGGGGAGCTTTCGGAGCGATTGGGTTCGGCCTTTTTGGGTTTGCAGCTTTGTTTTTAGGGTTTAGGGTTTAGAGGTGTAGGGGTTTGGGCGTTTTGTCCTGGATTTTTCCTTTAACTGCATCTGGTCGCTAGTGTTCGGCTTTGGGGCTTGAAGGGCTCAGTGTTCTTCGCTGTCTACCGGTTCAGGGCTTCAGGGTCTCCGTCTAAGCCCTAAACTCAGCGATCGATCATGGCTTATGGGTAGTTTTCTACATTAGGGTCCCTTTTTAGGTCCCGAGTATAGTACGGCACCCTTATAAAAAGGACCCCAAAAGGGACCCCAATTTAAAAAACTACCCTGTGTCTCCAAGCCCCGAGCTCTTTTTTTCGAGTCGCTCACGGCATCAAGCTTACGATGTTGCTTCCTCTTTGCAAGCGGTTTCTCCGTGATCGTCTGCCCAGCTCTCTATGCAAGAGAGAGATCCCACCTCCAGCTTCGCGAAGTCACCTGCCCAAGCCTGAATGCTGTTCTTGCCAGGGCTTCTAAACCGCTGAGGAAACTCTAGATGCCTAATCCCCGCCTTCCAGAGCATTCAACACATAAAAACCCCGAAGCTCCCGCAAAGCTGGCCCAAGATCCAGAGTCAGCCAGAAAAACCTAGGCCTAACGGCCTATCACCGGGGATCCCAACATTTGACCCTAAGCCGTTGCAGGCCAAAGCCGCACCGGATACTACAGGACTGCGTGCACCAAAATTCAGCGCACTTTGGTTTCAAGCTTTCGGCTTGCAGACCCACGCCACCTGAATCCGATAACCTTTTGACCGGCATGAACTCTGACAGGGCCTGGGTAATATCCGATCAAGCCCGAAAGACCCACAAACCCCTGACTCGCGGTTCCGATTCGAGAGCCGACGACTTTGCTTGCCGGGTGATGACTCTACTATTGCGCCTGGTCCTAGGCGCCGTAATCATAAGGCCGAAGACACCTCCGAAACAAGGGCCTTGGGAAGCGGAAGTCCGCTTTGGGGGTGACTAGCCGACTTGGAGCCCAAAAGCCAAAAGCCGCAGCCTTTCAAACCTTATAGCCTATATCGTTAAAGTCTTACGGCCCAAGGATCGCAAAATTCCAGAGTCCCATGGCCCGACCGTAAAGTTCAAAGCCCCACACCTTCAAGAGCCTTGAGACCATCTCCGTCTCGAAAGACCTTAAGCACCAAATACCATGAACCCTAAGAGAACTTGTGGGTTTGTATCCCATATAGCAAATGTAGTACTATAGAGCCCCAAACTTCTAAGGGTCATGTTGTCCATAGGAAAGACGGCACAGGAGCCCGAGCCACCTGAAGAAGGAAAGCTGAGGATGAGTCTCTCAAACGGAGAAGAACCGCCCAATCTTCTAAGCCCTCAGTTGGATCCGAGCAATGCGCTCGGTTTTAGTGTCTAAGGCTTCAGGGCTGTTGGGGCTTGGGCTTTTTGGGGGATTAGTTTTCAGGTCTTGGCTTCGAACCTCTTAGGGTTTAATGGTTTCT